CGGGTTATGAGGACAACCGATTGATTAATAGAATGGTTATTGGGTCCACGTGTAGTAAGAACTCCTATGGGCCCCCAACGGCACCGATAAGTAAGTAAGAAATTATAAGTTTGATTATTATTGGTCTTTTAGAATGTATAATGTATTGCTATCTTAATTTTTTTCTTCCTAGGTGATATTTGAGAATTTAAATGGTGAGTCTGAAATTAATATTTTTAAATTAAACGAATTTACCTAAAAAGAAAAATAAGTCAATTGGTTATTTTCTAATTTTTACTAAAATTCGATTTTCTGTATCGATTGTAAAGTATTGATATTTTTACTAGGATAGTGTAGTTCATCCCATTTTATTAATAATTTCATAGCAAGATAAGCAAGATCGGGATCCTAATCAGTAAGAAAGCTAGCAATTAAAGGTTGTCTCTCGTTTCCTACCAGTTGCGCAGCGGAGGTCGACCTTATATGTTTCTAGTTACACTTTTCATTATGTTATTTTAATTTCCTTCATTGGATATTTCTGTAATTATATTGAGCATTCTGATTGAACTGTGCAAGAATTTTCCGTAATCATATTGGGCTGGGTCAGTGGTCAACTGCGATATACTCTTCTTATATTATTTTTGGGTATGGGAACACTTGATTTTTCATGCATATGTGAGCTCTTTTCTAATTCACTTAAATGTTTTTTTTTAAAATTTAAAAGCAAATAACACAATCACTTCAACTCTCCTCTTTTCTTTTTCCTACTACCATTGATTTTGATATTCCTTAATGTGTGTATATATACACTATACACACACACACACATTATAACATCAACATATATAGTCCACAAATAGTGGGTGTAAAGACCCTGTTGAGTCTTGACCACTTGGCTCCTTGGACAGGGCACTTGATATTGGATTGGAGGGCAGGGCAGGACAGCCATTAACATTATTGCCCATTAACAAATACCTACTTACAGATATTTCAATTTCACCCACTTGCCCATTGCCGATACACATCATCTCCTACCCCACTCCACCCATGATTTTGTTGGTTCATGAATCAAACCCATCACAATTTTATTGCCTTCTTAAATTTCCTACCCAAATTCACTTCCCTATTTTTATATTTAATTTATTATATCGTACCCCCCACATAATAAAATTATTGTAATTTTTTGCTTACTTTTGTGATTAGATTTGTTAGGTATGTTTGTATAAAATTAAAAAAAGATTATAAAATATTCAAATTAGATTTTATATATTGAATTTTGAAATATCTCTATTGCATTATTTTTCCTTTCCTAATTTCTATAAAATAAGCTTACCAATTTTGACTATTTCCACTTGTAATTTTCTCCATGTCACTCTCTCTCAACCATTTTGGACATTTCAATTTTAAAATTTTCAAAATTTATACATCACCCCATACAAAGTAAAAGCAGCCTCAAATTTCTAAAAATTTATATTTCTTTTTTCTCCTTGGACCTACAAATAAATTGAACAAAAACAAACCCTAAAATTAAAAATAAAATAGAAAAATTCAACAACTAAACTATTATAATCCAGCTGTAACCCCCTACTATCTAAACAACTAGCTTTCGGAATCAATACAACCGTGTACCAAACAAAGCCGAATAATGACGGTCCAAACCGGCCTGAACCGTCGGTTCATCCAAAAACCCCAACGCCGGCACCTTAAAACCTTCAAAAACTCTGCACCGCTGACGTCAACTTTGGAGGCTCCGGTCCGGCGAGTTCTTTCCTCCTCCTTAACTCCAGCACCTTTCGGTGACTGTTTGAGTGAGTATGGACGGAGAACGTCGGGCTGCACGCCGGCCGGTATTCCGGGAAGAGCCGGCCGGACTTGTACCTAACCCCACAAGCATTACAGAGGGTTTTGGCACCAAGCGGACCGGCTCTCCACTGTGGGGTCTTCTGAACCTGGCAATGACTGCATCTTCTCTGAAACGGGCTCCCGCCCGTTAACCCACCGGGTTGACCTGCTGCTTTCTTCTTCGGTCTCTTCTCAGCCGGTTGTCCCTCTGTTCTTTGTATGACGGAGTTGAAACCAGATGTTGAACAGGAAGATGAGGATGTGGTTGATAGCTCCGTGGATGAAAGTGAGCCGAGAGGCCAGACTCTACCAGTGTTTTCGGGTCGGGTCCTCTTGCTTCTTGCTTTGACCGGAACAGGCAAAGCAAAAACTGAAGTCTTCACCAGCAGCGGTCCGACCGGGTCACACCGGCGTTTTCCCTTGTTCTCTGATTTTACCTTCCCGGCGGGGAATAATAGGGATAGGTCCGATAAAGAATCGTCCACAAAGTGAGAAACCCATTCAAGCCCTGCAATATCATCGTCCTGCAAACACCAGAAATGGCTTCTTTTCATTTTCGGAATAAAATTAACACAAGACCATAAAAAAAAAAAAAAAACTTTTAAAAAATAAATATTAATTTTCTTGTGGGAGAAAAATAAGATGAAAGGAATCTAGCTATACCGGTACAGCGAGTTCGCTTGTGAGGAAAGAATCAGAAGAATGACTGCAAGAGTTGGAGTTATTATCATCTTGAGAAGAAGAAACAGAGAGCCGGTCTTTTTCTTCTTCTTCTTCTTCTTCTTCTTCTTCCTCTTCCTCTTCTTCCAAAAAACACCCATCTCCAAATTCCCCGTTAGAGAAATCAAGGAAGCATTCTACGGGGAA